ACCAGTAACCGAACTTGACTTAATTAGTTTGGGTAAATTTCGACCCAAATTGACCCATTCAATCGTTGAAATCGAACCAACTTGGTTTGATTTGGTTAATTGGTTTTGATATTAGTGCGAGTTAAAAAAAATTGTCTATCTATTTTGGGTTAAAAAATTTGCATTTCTATATATATATATATATATTTGCTTGCGTAGTTCATATCAATAATATATATAATATAAATAGTAGTGAATTGATTTTTTCAAAATTATTGTATATATCCGATAGTTACTAATAAACAATTACACCAAAAATGAAAAGTAATGATACAATCTAAATTTGAAATTTATAACAAACACTTTTTCTTGATTTCTTTTCATTTGAGATTTGGAGTTGTTGTAGAAGAAGTATAGATGGTAAATAAATTATTTGAGAAAGAATTTTATTTGTGTTTTTATTATTTTATTTTTTACGATTAAAATGATGAATTTTAAAATGAAAAAAAAAAATGCTTTAGCTTGTTGAATTGATTAATTGACTGGTTGGTTGCTTAAATCGAACCAACCCAACCCCGACTTTATAATGGTTAAAATTAATTGATTTTTGGTTCAAACCAACCTAAACCGACTTGTCTCAGTTTGGTTTGGTCGATTTTGTCGTTTTTTTGATTTTTTTTCCCCACCCTTAACCTTTTAAGTAACTTTAATTGCTTTAAGACCACTCACAAAAATTCATATTTAAAGGGGTTCAGGTTGGATAAATCCTTTTTGGTTTTATACAATGAGATATTTGTCTAGAGCTGGGATATTCTTTATTTTTTATAGTCGATTCCAAGTTATGCGTGATGACATGTGACAAATAGCGTAATATAAATTCTCATCCATACCAATAAGGGAAATCAATTAGTTGTACAGATTGGTTTGTTGTCGTAATCTATTTTGGCTTAATATAAATGTGAAGGGATTTACAATAATTAGATTATAAGGCTATTTTGTAAATAATCACAATCGCTCACCTAAATAAGAAGGATCTTGACATATCTTTTAACGTCCACAATCAAATAAAACTTTTTAAGACTACACGTATTCATTAATTCATAACTCATTTCTATCTAAAATGGTAAAGCAAGCTTCCGTTTGGAAAGTTTATAAATAATTTACAAAGAATAATTGTGAGAAGAAAAATAGCGAGTCTCACAAAATGTGTGTGAATAATAATGAATAATGACTACGAATATGCAGTTAAAATTAATGTTAAACCATTTATAAATTTGATTACCAAACAAAAGCTAAATTATTACATGATTCCGCAGTTACTCAAGACTAAATAACTTGAATGGTAAAGCTAATTGTTACATAACTTCACAATTATGAAGGACAAAAAAATAATAATAATAAGTTGTAGTTAACTATGGTCTAATTTAGTTCTATCCACTAATAAGTACCACAGATAACATCATACAATTTATTAAGCCCATGTTTGGTGCACATTTTGGGAGCAAGAATGCATTTTTACTTTGATACGATGGATAATATCTGGTTGAAAAGAAGGAAAAGTTATTGATGTGATGGAAAATATTATTTTATTTAATAAGGTGTGGTTGAAAATGAGTAGAAGAATGAGAATGAAAAAAAATAATGTGGCTCAAACAGGAGCTCAGTAGATAATTTTGATATTCTTGATCACTAATTGTATGACAGGAATAGAATATTGTCACTAGGACAATTTATTGCCCTAGCAATCATGGAATAATTTAGTTCTATCCATTGCAAAATCCTCATTTAAACTAGAAAAATAGATATTGTGCTGTACATTGCACATGTCATGATTTAAATCCAAATCTCAATTTCAAATGTTGTACACCTAATACCTAAACAATCTTTTGCAACTAATAACCATTTTTCTAATCGCACGATCTTACCAAAAGAATGAATTAAGGTCCAGCAAAGCTTCTAAAGAAAATAAATTAATAGAGGAATACAATCTACAAATAGTAAAGAGATTAATAACTTAGAAAATCAGATTTTATTCCCCTTTGAAATTTCCATGGTCGTGGGTTTTGGCCGGCTTTCCACACTTGGAATTTTAGGGTTTTCAACAAGAACAAGAGTTTAAGCTGACAGCTTATTTTTGTCTTCAGACTACCAAACTATCCATCCATCAACTGCCACGTCATTTCAAAATACATAAACACTTACGTATCCACTTGCTATTTTCTACCCAATTATGAGTTGTGATTTGAAGTTTCATAAACAAATAAGTCTTTTGTTGATCCATTTTTGCATTTTCATATACCAAAAAATGTTGGCATGGGAGAAACATGATGGAGAGTATGGGGAAAGAGATGATTAGTCCGAGGATCTTGGGCTAGGTGATGTAGCAAGAAACATAGGAACATGGTCAACAAATCATCGAAAATTGTTTAGTGAGATGGATCCATCAACCCTTGTATCAAGAATTGAAACAATTACCTCATGTTTGGTGTCCATAATTTTAAAATAATAATAATATTTGAATAGCATTTTTTAGAGAATGTGTGGTTAAAAAGTAAGGAAAATTTTTAAATTTACGTGTAAAATATTTTATTATGTG